CATTGCTGCGAAATAAGCTTTCGAGAAACGTGATTTGTCAATTAGAAGACTATACGGGCTCATTATTACATTCGTATGTATGACTGCAGTGAGAAATACCTACTAATTATTTATCGACAACAGCGATTCCTCCTACGTCTAGGAGCAAATCAGCTCATTATCAATTATGATTATTCAATAAGTAATCGTTGAGTATCATTGCTAGCACCGAGAAAACGCGATTAAACAATACCATAGACATCGATTTAATCATAAGCGTGTAAAGCCCACTGGTGCGGTAAAATCCCTCGGCTTCTCAAATTTTATTCAGTCGACGAGGTTCATCCGCAACTTCGTCAGCGCCAACATCTGTTTAAATTAATGCTCCAACTCCCGTACGAGATTTCGCACAAGACCGCGGCTACCTGCTTTTCATTATCTCATCTTTGAGCGAGCCTCGAGCCACTATCAGACTACAGTCGGTGGAATCGCTCGTGGAACAGCCGCGCCGTAAAACTCGGAGATTCGCCGAAATACCTTGAGATGAGAGTAGGTGGAAGGACGAGGGCTGACCTCCCCCCCCCCGGAGCTCTCGGCCAGGCGGAAATAGTGGCGCGTGTCTGGGACAGAGAGTTGGCGCGCATGCAAATTTAATGGGTCGGAATGGTGCGGGGTGCCGAGGCCTACGACCCGAAGCAACGACTTCTTGCCTCCCTGTGCTCGTTACTTATTCAAACTCCACTACAATTACGACTTGTGTACGCCCCACCGGTACTCACCTGAGCTCCTCACCTCCTCACCCTCCGATGCTTGCACTTTCCGTTCGTCTTTTGCCTCCTACTCTCGTTCTTTCCCTCGCAGCTCCCATCGGCCAGCTCCCCTCCCCCTCCAAAAACCGCCACCTCCTTCACTACCACCACTACCACCTCTACCACCACCACCACCACTACCGCCACCTCCACCACAACGTCTATCGCCACCAATACCACCACCAACACCACTACCTCCAGTCGCCCCCCCCTTACCACCCTCCACGCCGTAACCAACAAAGCCCCTTCGCCATCCCGCGCTCCTTCACGCTCTTTTCGCTCTGTTTCCTCGTCCAATGTAATTTGCTACACGTACATCTTTTGTGGTTATTTCGAGTTTTTCTTTTATTTTTCACTGACCACTTTATGGCTTATATCAATATGCAAGAGAAATTCAGAGAAAGAAACTGATGTGAAAGATTAAACTTGAGCTTTGAGTGGGTCTCGCTCCTTCCTTTCCCTGACCTTTGAAATTATTAGAAAAATATTTTAACGCTGTAAAAACATTCTTTTAGAAATTTGTCCGCCATTCGTATACATAAATCTTTATCACAGCTGTATTCGATGCAAATACAAACACCTCTATTTAAATAAAACATTTACAAAATTGACGTGACAATTACGAATGAAATGCCACGCTTATAATAAGTAAACGTTAAAGCCGCACTATCATATATCATGTCCAATGTTATGATTATTATCATCCGCAAGTTGAAAATTGATTTGACTCGCTTGATTCAACTATTTAGCATAATATTACATCACTACTTTGTCTCAATAATTAATAATTCATTTTTATTTAAGCGTAAAAAAAAAAATCATGTTCGGATAAAAATTTCTTTCAATAAGTGATACTCACCTTAAAAGAAAAGTTCTTTAATTAAATTTACTGCTTGTTAATAGACGAGGAATCTTACCGACAATTTCATCGAAATATGCTTTTGAATAAAAATACGGAAATCAAGTTCGACAAAATTCGTTTTTCTATAATAAGAGTAATTATACTTCAAAAGACCTTAATGTGGAATATCTCATTAAAAAATATTCTTGGATATCTTTCGAAATGCTTAAAATCTACACAAGAAAAAAGATTCGTCTCTTTCAAATCAATACTTTTACAATTACACATTTGTTAACTTTATCTCGAGCAAAATAATTAACGTCTATCGTTACGTCTTTCTTCCTCCAACACTTTTTATTACTTTTAATACGTTATTTCAATAATCGTATGCATTTATTTTATATTTATATTATTATTTATATTCTATATTATAATATAATGTACATTATAATGCGTTTTAAAATAATATGTTATTGTACAATTATAATATAATAATATGATAAATATGATAAATTGTATGAACTCGGATATTTATATCATCCAACATTGGCATCCTTTTAATCAAAATTAAATTTTTATTTTTTTCTGCGTATGAATTTGGAAAGCAAGAATAATAAAAATTATCATTAGAAATTTTACTCTCTATGTGTTGGTAGCTCTTGTTGATAAAAAAAAAAAACTAAAGATAAAATAAAACTTGGCAGTATTCGCGAATTCGTTGACAGAAGAAATTTAACTCTGATTAAGAGGAATGGTAAGAGAGGAGAAATACCTTGTTCAATTCATTATTTGTTACACACAAATTTTTACGTTTCGGAATAAACTTTTCATTGTCGCAAACTCTTTTACGCCATGGAAATTTTACATGGACTTTGTTATTCTGGTAAGAGAGAAGACAAGTAAGTATAAGCTCTGGGAATTTCAAAAATGTAGGTCGAAATTGTTATTTGCATCTAAGACATTCCATTCGGATTTCTAGATTAAATATAGATTAAAATAAGTAAAAATTATCGGAAACAACTAATAATTATAATTATTTAATTAATTATATTTATCCTTAGTTTATTTATTTATTTATTTATTTTTTGTATTCAATTTCCCCTCATTTATCTATGTGCTGTCATTAACGTCAATCGAATTATATAATTCATTCTTTTATTTTATTAACCGTTTGCTTATTTCCCTCTAAACTGTGCCGTACATTTTCGTTTGTATTATATTTCATTCTTCGCCCTACTTTAACCACTTACTTTATCCCCTTAACTTTGTGACTTTTATTTTTCCTTCTCCTACAAGATGTTGATATTTTTCTCATCTTTTCCGTTCTAGGCTATTTATTTTATCATTTTGGAAGTATTTTACTATTTTACTTTAATTTTTTCTGCATACTAATATAATCGCTTATTATTGCAACATTGTTAATTTATCCTTCGATATGATTCCTTCGATTAAGCATAACTTCGAGTGTTTCGTAGTAAATACGAGGTATTCTTATTACATGAAATGTATCTTGTAAATAAATAGTGTACTATGTCATAGTTGTTTTTTCTTTTAATACGAAATAATTGACAAAATCATTACGTTTATTGCACAGTTAAACCACTAAGTTTTAATTATATTAAGGTACAATGAACGACTCATCAAAGACTATTGCAATAGATTTTAATTTTTATTGACTTTTATATGAATGTAAGCATTCGTCGATATAATATTCGAAATTGTCATATTAAATAGGTATTGGAATTCATATATCCGTTCATTTATTCAACTCAGTTAATCGTATAATTGTGAATGATTTTTCCACTAATAGGTTATTTATTTACAATAATTTACCATTAAATTCAATTACGTTAATTAATGGCATTAAATATAGTATAATTGAAAAAAGTTGAAAGTAAAAGCCAAATATACGTAACATAGTTATTAGAAACTTTTAACTTTTATTCCAATATTTGAATAATACAAATATATATATATATATATATATATATATATATATATATATATATATATATTAATTTCTAAAATATATAAACTCTATTTTTTGCTCTCCTTTAATAACTAAACAGTAAAGTATGTTATTCGGTTGAATAGTTCAAAAAGAGCTGCTCACTTTTATCGAATTATTAAAAAAATTAATGTATTAAAATCTTTTATAATTATCATGTAATCATTGTTATACAATTTATTTACATTACATGGAGTTACTTTTGAGATATTATTTCAAATATTAATTTTTGATACTTTATTTTGCAATTCTATAGAATCAATGTATGAATTTAGACTAAATTAAGAAGAAGAAGAAAAAAAAACAAAACAAAAAAAAAAACAACATATTTCCTACATTTGAGATATACTTGTTTTTCAATAATAACGTTTATTATATTTGTACAGTTATAAAATTGTCATTAATCAATTATCACAAGAAAAGTAGAAGTTAAAGTATCTTTAATAACATTTACTAGCATAAATAATATTGATCTGCTTAAATCACAATTTTCAGTTCATTTTTTTTTAATATTCCTGTAAATTAGTTTTTCCTCTTTATGTGTCGCATCACATATTGTTTATTATAAATGAACGATCTTTATAAACACATTAGCGGCTCATTTGTCACGTTTGATGCTCGATATATGTTCCGGATAGAATTTAGTCATAAACGCATATTACGAGGAGCATAACGCACCACAGTAATACCAATAGCTAATAGTCGTTGTTTCTCCGAATCAGCCACTGCATGTAAATAGGACCACTTGCGCATCCTCTCGCAATTCATTAGCAAGTGATTGCAACAATAGACCATATTAGCCGATCGAAATAATCTCTAATCGCTTCATTAATTTCTTTATCATCGTTGCCCTTTTATTATCGAGTATACGTCTTTTATCATTTGCTAAAATTTCTCATCATTTCATATATAAATCGTCTCTACTCTCACTACGACTAAACGCTGCAACTTAATACTCTCAATAAGCACGTATATCATATTAGAATTTCTATTAAAAATCCAATAGAAATTCATCGTTATTTATTGGATTGTAATACTCTTAAGCAATCGAATGCGCGTGCAAACGTACAACTACCTAAGTAAATAAATAAGCGTTATTTCGAACATGAATATCAGTGCTGCGCCATTGATTTGAAAACTATTGCTCCACCGAGTGTAATCCAGGCCCATTTATTCCATTTAACAAATCTATCCGTATAGCTTTCATAGATAATCGTCCTGAGAGGCAAAGGTACGTGCGCGCGGATGCGATAGGAATATATCGATTCATGCGTACAAAAGCATTGATATTCAGGAAATATGCTTAAATTAGTTTTACCAGCGGCGGCATTGACAAAGGATATTTCTCTTATTTATGTTTCAGATATCTCAATCGAGGGCAGCGACACATACAGGAAAATTCGATAGACGACGAGACATGACGGGCATCACATCGCGGTGAGGTAAAAGTGGCGAGGGTCGCCTCGAAGCCCTCAACTTCGCAAAATCATGATGAAGAGTTACGGGAGTATCGTCCAGAGGGCGACACCGAGTTTCGATCTTATCGCTATGCTGAAACTCGTCCTCGTACTCGCTCTGGCATCGATGGCGCAAGGCATTGATCTCTGTAAGGAACTGTTTTACTCTCGTACTTGTCATTTCCTTTGAATCCGTTATTCAGAGCCGAAATTATTGTAGAATTAGCAATGCGCGCGGAGTCGATGCTTTTGTAACAATCATCCACGTCACAGCTGTGATAGATACTTAATTTTCAATATTAATGAGACTTCTTTTGTACATCCGATACGATAAAGAATGCTACAGCTCCTTTACTTCAAATGTAAAATATCAATGAAATAATTTTATTATTGCTATGAAAATATTTTTATTTTATTTTTTTTTTTTTTTTTGAAGCACTTACGCAATAGCAATGCTGTTATGAAAAATAATTTATTCTTACATTTATCGACTATTTTTGACACATTAATTATTAAAGTGGAATGTTTAAAGTAAGCTTTGGGTACGTATTGCTGGATTTCTGATTAAGGCTAGAGTTACAAATATAAAATTCAAAATACCCATCATCATTATATGATCAATAATATAATATTATTATAGTATTTTTAATGAATTTTTAAATGATATTAATTTTAATTTGCTTTCCCATTATTAAATTTTATCAATAATATTATTAGATTTTTGCAAAATTAGTGAAACAACTTGTAATTTTGGCATTTTCAAATTATTATTATTATTATTATTATTATTATCATTATTATTATTATTATTATTATTATTATTATATAGGAATTGTAATACTATTAGTCGTATTTTTATTATTATACGATAAAAAGGAATATTTCATCGATTATCAAACAATATTTTATATTTTATTCATAATCTTCTATATAATAGTTATGTGTTCGTAGATTTTATCTAAGAAATTTATATGAAAAAAAGTATGTCATAATTATAGCAATTACATATTATCTTTTAAATGGATATTCGTTTAGGAAGCAAATAAGATAATTCAATTACTATAGACATTGTGCTACTATGTATTGTTCAATTCGCATTATATAAAATATAAAATCTTTGAACATTTTCAATATTTTAATTGCTACGTTGGATGTAAAGAATAGCTAAAGAAATATGTAATTAGCTTCAAAATAATCCGTTGATAATTAAACTTTTTTTTATACTTTTGTACGTAATGAATATCATGAATAAAGTGAATTGGCTTTTATTAAATATGTTTATTATTTTTCAAAGAGACTATGATATGAAATACCAAATGATTTTCTATATTTATAGATAAAGTTCAACCGATAAGTACACACAATTAATACTTTACAGTAGTAACTGTTTCATTTTATTAAATCAATAAGCATTATCAAATGCAGAATTTCTTTGTTCATAGATAATGTTAAAAGAATAGATAATGTGAAGTAATGTGTAGTTTGTAAAAGATAAACGATCCACCGATACCGATGATAAAAACCAATCACTGATTTGTAAATGTATTTGTGTCCCACTACGCCGACAATTGCATACAATCGCACTCCCCGAAATAACTCATTTTATTTCCATAATATTTGAAATATCTTTATAACTATGTTGCTTTTAATATTGCCGAATATTCTGTTCAGCAACTGTTTAGCAGCTGTTCAGTAACTGTTCAGCAAGCCCTTTCTAAGTTTTTAATTACTCTCGTCTATAAAAGTATTCGAAATATCTGCAAGCAAAAATTATCAACAGTAAATGTTAAAATGCATTAGCCTCGCATCCAAGATTACGATCCAAAACTGATGGATCGAGACTGTATATTTTTACTTTCATTCAACGTCAATCAATTTTGTTTCTTCTTTTCTCTTTTCTTTTCATTTTGTTTTATCGGAGTGCAAAAAATGATTATGGATTTTGAAAGAGTAGTAGTAGACTCTCAGTATGATTTATAGTTCCGAAGCGTATTTTAAATTGGAGCGTCTGTTAATTTTCTCTATTTACGCTTTCGAAATTAAAACACACCGCATGCTATTTTTTGTTTACATTGTTTTCATAATTGATAAGTTAAAATAGCATTGCAATGGAGGATATTGCCGGTGAAACGAGGAGGAAGATCAAAGTATCGACGAAAGCATCGTCTTCGAGTACTATTATTTCTGAAACAAGCGGCTCATACTCAATCAAGCCGAGGACTTTATGAAACGGCGGAGGGAATACATTTGCGATGGTGTTCGCAACTTTTACGATATTCAGCACTAATTTCGTACATTCGAGCCACATGCCAGTGACACGACTCGGCCGAAATTTCCGGGCGATCGGCCTTTGATCAAACCCTCGCTGCACCAAAGTGCCCGCCGAGTCACGCAAAAAGCGGCCATTTCCTCGGCTGTCCATCCTCCACCCTTTCACTTCCATATGGCCAAAATTTTTCGCCCGCCGATGTCCCGAGCACCTATACGATAACGTTATACACCTATACGATAAATGTTCTCGACTTTTTCTTCGCCAGCCTTGGGATTTGCATGTCCAAGTGCCTTCTTACTCAGCTACTCGCGCGTATGAGATAACTCGTAGGTTAAACGACGACCCGTCGAGTCCCCCCAATGGCATTACGTCGATAACGAGTTTCTTCGTCAAATGTTCGTGTCCCCTTAGACGACGCATCGCCGCACTCTCGAGGCACCGATACTTTCCGAGTACTTCATTTTTATCCTCGACGATACGGGCTCTTTCTCGTTTAGTTAACGGCGACAACCGCCGCTTCATCACTCAGCGCACTTTCATTTCTGTATTATTCCGCGCTCTTCTTCCACGCTCATTTCTTCTCCTACCTGTTCCTTTCGCTCGGCCTTATCAAACGCATTCGATCTCGGATAAATTGTGGACAAGCGTGTTTCCTACACGTAATACGTTCTAGTTACTTTTAGCGAGCGTGCGATCATTAAAAGTTGTATTATATAGCGATGGACGGAAGTCGCAGATAAACCGACCTGTTACTGCCTATGCCCCGGCCATTCTTTCTCTCCTCCATTTTTTCTTATTATTAAAATAAGTTCTGATTTTATCGAACATGCCGATAACTATGCTGAACACGCGTGTCCCGTTTAATTAGGTTCGGATACTTTTAAGTTAACTATTAATTATAATAATATTCCATTCTGGAATATAAATTTCAAATTTTCTTTTTAATAATGATATACGATTTTATCGAAAATATTCATATATATATGTATATATATATATATATATTTGGATTTAATAATAATTTTAATAATTTTTTATTCCAAAAATTCTATTAAAAATTATTTAATGATTTTTTTATTATTTGTTTATTTTTTTTTTTTTTTTTTTTTTTTTTTTTTTTTTTTTTTTTTTTTTTTTTGCAAATGAATTTAACATTGAAATATTTAATGATCCATTGTTATGTTATGTTGAATTACGTCTATTTTCTACGAATAAATAATTTTAAGTCTTACAAATCAAGCATTGAGTATCAATTATATGTTATGTATTATAATATTAACCTTGTAAAGATAAATATCTATTTTCATGTAAAGTAAATATTAATAGAAAACAGTAATGATATGGGAAAAAAAGTTTATTGTATAAAGTTATATTGGAAGTGAATTATATATTTGTATTATTATCAAATATATTAGAATTATTATAATTAATTGAATAATTATACATAAGAAAAATTTAATAATATTTATTTTGCGCATTATTCTTTATATGCTTAGTATTTTTTATTTCTTTTTAATTAAAAGAACAAAGTCAGTGTATTTAATTAGTGTGTACTTAATTGCCGGGCTAATACCAAAATTTTTTCTTCCCACCAAATTTCTTCTACGTTTTAATATTCGTGTACGTATTTATATTTTCATCGATCATCGTGTACTTGTTATTTTTAATTCGGTATTAAGAGATTAATGATAAAAAATATGACTTTATTGAATTTTCGAAATTAATTTTCGAAATATGCTAAGTATGATATTTGTTATATACACATTTGCGCGTGCGCACCTATAAATGTGTATATATATATATATATATATATATATATATATATATATACGCAGCTACGAATGAATTTTTCAATAAATGCTCCTTCATCTTCAGTAACGAACTGCTCCAAGTTCGACTAGTGCAAATAAAGATTACTCTCCTGTTCCGTTGACTAAGTTTCGCAATTTCACAAATCCGAATAATGAGTTGACACCATCTAAATATACACCGTGTAGACATATTCATATACATGATGCACGTATATAAGGATATCTGGTTGTGTGTTGCTGTATAAAGAGCGAACTACCGGAACTAACTAATGGCAAGAAATTTGAGCGTACATAGAGAGATTTGAGCGGCTAATGATCAGTCAGTGAGAATCAAGAATTTAAAGGAGATACAACAATACGTTACGAAAGTACAGGAGAGTAAAATATTAAGTATATTCGAGTAGATCCAAGTCACTAATTCTAGAATATATATATATATATATATATATATATATGCTTGTCGAGACAAGTCAAGAGCAGCGTAATCCGATATTCCATTGTTGAGCAATTTCAATCCTTCAACTTTCAATTCGGTTTAATAAAGTTCGCCACGCTTTTAATCAATCTCTGTATGAGGTAAAGCACACTGCTATTATATTATATTTCTAAGAGGAAAATTGCTACGTACTTATCGTTTGTTTTGAAAATATGTTCTTTTTACCAAGTTATTTAGCTTGATGGAAAAAGCTTTTTCTTGCTACTGTATTATTCTTTTTGTATCAGAGTTAAAAAAATTTGCGCAGTAAATACTTTTTTTGAAGTATTAACTTGGTCACCAATTGTAGTAATTATTGAAGATAAAAATATATTATTAAAAAAAAAAAACGTGTTTTTTTTTAAATCTATTTTAACATTCATAATGTGCGTTTTTTAATATTTCAAAAGAAAATAAATTTTTATGATTACAAATGAAAGCATACTACTACGAATTTTAAATTGAATATTTAATAACTAAGTAAAAAATTCGTTTGTATATATATATACCTATATATGTACACATACATATTTAACTATTATAAATATTGTATTTTTCGTTAAGTATAAAAGTTACGTGCAAATTTTTCAAATCTTTCTCCAAGTAATCAAATTCGTTTTTGTTGCAATGCACGAATTGAAATTCGGTATTGGAAATGCTTATATCTGTGATACTATAAAATGGTTACAATTTCACTTTAATTAAAACATATTTTCAAAGTATATATAAAATTGTGTAGATAAATGTGTAGATTCGTATTATAAAGGAGCAAGTATTTTAAATTATATCGATCCTTGCATCATACTGATTTGGAATGAAAATGAAAAGTTTTTTTATTTAAACCATTGATACGTGGATAAAAAAAAAAATAATAGTACTTACGGCGAAGTAAATAGCAATGGTTTAGCGAATGGTTTAGTAGATGAGTCACTAACTGATGGTGATGATGATGATGATGATGATAATAATAAAAAATTGTAGAGGACATGATATTTTTTATTAATTTCATAAGATGCATAATAATTATCAAGCAAATCCAATGTAAATGTTCAGAATATCCTTTATATATATATATATATATATATATGCTACAGTTTGAAAACACATTGAGGAAAGTTGTCTGAGTAAGGTATTGAAGTGCCTGCATTTCACATATCTCTGCATCAGACGCGAAGTAATTAATTATTGACAATCTGTATAGCGCGTTATTATATAATTACATACGAGAAAATTGCATGTTTTTCAGCCAAGTATTAATACGAATGCAAGAAAATGATTTAATAGTATGATTATTAAGTTTAACAGCAACAAGTAATAATATCAAGTATTATCAACATATTGATCTTTGTAGGATAACGTTAACATACGCTCAAGAGCCTCAACTAAGCAATTATTAATCCAAACGATTGACGCGTCCGCATTCTCGTCATTACACTACAAGAATTTTCAAACAGATAGATTTTACTGTTACTCACCTGCCCATGGATCAGCATATCAGCATTGTCGCACGACCACTCTCAAAGTATATCGATACTTGGCCATCATTCTCATCTTTATCCCCCCCCCACCTCATCCCCGCACCATCGAATCAGCCTTTCACCAACCCCTCAATCACCCGACTAAACTCCACACTCAGCAACGTGCGAGAGCTGTCTTCGTCGTCGAACCATCGACCTTCGTCACAATATTCGATTCTCCCCTACACTACACACATAAACATCGACTATTTACGCACTGCTTAATCTCGCTGTCTCTCTCCACCGCTCGACTCGGATCACATCGTCGTCGAGAGGCTCGTTAACGAATTCTCGGGCAGGGAGCCGCGAATTTTCCAAGGGCACGTTTATCCTGACGACGCCTCCCACGGACAGGCAAACAACGGGCCAACCGAGCCCATCGCTACGACGCCCGAGACATCGATGCTCTCTAAAATAATACGGGTTCTGCGCACCTGCGCGCTCGATCTTCGCTGCGTTACCAAGAAGAGCCACGGCAAACACGCGACAACATAAAACGATTATTAAGGACGACTCTTCACCGTCAAATTATCCACTGTTTCCCGTGTTTTTGCCCAGTCATTCCTTTAGCTGTATTTTCATTTTACATTTTCCGGCGTTCGATGTTAGATCTCGCGAGTGAGACGTAACAGAGCACATCCTGAAAAATATTAATAATCTTGATCATTGATTTAAAGAGAGGATTTTTCTCCTTTGTATTAAAACAGACTAAAACAAAGAACCGCCTCCTCGACATATCTCCTGCCCAAACAAACAACACTGCTCATCCGGGCATCGTTTCTCTGTGTGTCCCTTAGTTTACGCAACAATTAGATCTAACCGGCACGCACCCCCCCCCCCCCCCGCCGTTCCCGCCTATCCGTCATCATCTTCGAGATCGTTGTGTTGGAGGTGTTCGATTAAATTGGGACCCGCATCTAGTGGCTAAAGCCTGCCTCTCTTACCTCGTGCTGGGTAGTCTCGTAGCTGGTGGAGGAAGCCGGGCAGATCGTAGCCCAGAGCATAACTCGGGCTTTCCCGCCCCGACCGATGATCTTTTGAGCCCCCACAGCGCTGATCCGATACTCTTCTGCTTTCTGCTTGCAGCACAATGCATCGCGCCCCTGGGCATGGAGACCGGGGCGATAGCCGACGCTGACATAACGGTCAGCTCGAGCTTCGACAACGGCAATGTTGGACCTCATCAGGCACGGTAAGCATTCACGATTCTCTTTATCTTTCGCTCTCTCTCCCTCTCTCTCTCTCTCTCTCTCTCTCTCTCTCTCTCTTTCATTCAGCCCATTCACCGTTTTTGCACTCGGCCGATAATCACCGGAGGAGGTTATATTATTTCACCTCGCTCCTTTGTCCTCGATTTTTCGGCATTAGTCTTACTTTTTTTTTTCTTTTTTTTTGTTTCGCGGAATAAACGCTTCCTCGGCTTGCGTATCAGATTGCAATTGGTAGTTTGAGAAGTGTGGGTAGGGGCGCGAACAACGGTTATTAATTAAGAACTCGTCGATCGAAACTTATCGACGATCGAGTGATAAGCTTATGCTTGGATGTCTACAGCGGGGCAAATTGTTGGTAAAGAGAGAGAGAGAGAGAGAGAGAGAGAGAGAGAGAGAGAGAGAATGTACTCGAAAAAGTAAGTACATGGGACAGTTTCATTTATATCAATAAATTTTAATGTTTTTATATGACGAAGAGGCGCGCATTCGTTACTTTTAATAAATAATACATTTTGCAAATGTTTTCCATTTTGTATGTCTATACAACTTATCCGTAATTGTTGAAAAAGTAGGACAATCGTCAGATGTGTCGAAAAGTTTGTCCAATTTTATCGCTGTTTTTTCAATTAATGTTGAGTAGCGAGTAAGCGCATTTAAGATAAGACCTTGAAGTACGGGTCTCTCTCTCTCTCTCTCTCTCTCTCTCTCTCTCTCTCTCCGATTTATGACATATCGTCGGTCTTAAATTAAAAATTATCTACGAAGGATATAAGCACTTTTCTTTCTTTAAAGATCGATAAAACGCAGAGATTCTTAATATCTGGATAACATAAACGCGCGATTAATCTTAAGCTTAGCAAAGGCCGTAAAATACGTGCCAAGTCATTTCCAACATTATGCTCGGCGAAAAGAAATGAAGTACACCGAGCTTGAATTCCCGCTGCGCGCGTTTTAAAAAAAGAAAGTCACAACGCAATTTCCTCTCGTCGCCGCTAAAATAATCGATAGACGCCTTGTATAATCAAGATTGCCAGCGAAAAACATGTGCCGGGCACCGTGGTCGCCAAGCCCGGTCGAGTGCGTTAGCCCCGACCAGCATGGACGGGACACGGACGCCGACGACGACGCTGATGCCGAAACCGACGCCGACGCCGACGCCGACGCCGACGCCTCACTCATCCCTTCGATAACGCGCGTCCACACATTGGACCAGTTTTTCAGATGCGAACGTCTTTGGTAATCCACTCGACTTTTGCGAGAATCAGCGATGCATCATCTCGTAATGAAGATCGGTAGTAAATCTCGAGAAGGCCCGTATAATCCCGGCGGCGTAAAATTCTGCGCCTACTGAATAAATAATCGCTTATTAATTGCGTCGCTGAATAATTGAGGCTCGACGTCGGCTACGGAGAATATGTACCTCTCGTGAAAACAGCGGTCCAGCCCTCCTCCGAATAGTCGTTTTAATCGCGGATTTAGCTCCAGCCTCCGCTCCGCCACCGTCGCCGCCGCCTCTCCCGTTTTACACGGAATATATAATATAATCCATGAATTTTGTTACATTTCACGATGCTAAAACTAACAACCCTCTGCTAATAAAATCTGAACATTATCGTTGAAACTGTGAAAAGTAATTTTAATCATTTAATATTTTAGCGTTTAAGTTTCAATCCGTCCATTCGAATTTTAAGGTAATACTTTATCAAAATACATTATTTCTTGCCAAGCGCATAAAGTTTTTGCGCTACTGCGACTTTACGGAAATTTTTCTTTAACTTCGGTTGAACAAAGTATAAAATTAGCCCTCATTGCCCTAATTGAAATTCATAATGATGATAGTAATCAATCATTAATCATTGGGATAATTTAAAACTCAAATATTTAATTTCAAGCTAAGACAAATTGTGCAATTTTTTAGTGCGTGCGGGTGCGAAGATGGCCAAGGGGTTGCGAGAGAGATGGACAAAAAAAATCTTTCTACGCTCTCATCAAATAAGCCATTAATAAAGAACATTATACTCTGAACTTTATAATTATTAATATATTTATTTATGTTCTTATGCATTCGTAGGGGAATTGTAACGGGAAAAATTATTCTCCACAGATAAAGGGAAATTTTTTTACTCCACCACTTGGCACGCATCATCTTATTATTTGATGAAATTTGATTTATTTGATGAAAATTCCACATACGCGTAGGATTCAATATAAAATTTTTGACTTTTCATCATTGATATAATACCAATTTATTATATTATATACATCATACAAAATCTTATATATTTATATGTAACCACGTCAATTGTGTATAAATAAATATAAGCCGTATTACTTATTATTGCAGCAATTTTGAATTTTCTGATTCGTTCAGATTTTGTAGACAATTGTAGATGGAATTGTAACAGTGATTTTAATTCTTACTTTAAGTCGTACTTGGAGATCGATAAAAATTTTTGTCGTAAAATGCTTAAGTGAGACTGCATAAATTTAGATTATAATTGGCATATAAATTTTTACAAAAATTATGGACTATACAAAGAATTGTGAATTCAGATGAATTTATATATTTTTAAGGTATTATTCACCTTGAATGCATTGAAAATTATTATGATAATGAAATACAAATTTTCTCAATACAAACAAAGTTCGGAAATGAAACATATTTTTTTGCCATATTAAATTGTAAATGCTAATTACTTTGGAATTAATAAGCGTACTTGATTTTGCCGTAAGATTCATGTGATGCAAAATATGATTAAAAATTTAATAACCATAGTCAAGTGAATTATCGAAATATTATAACTAATTAGTTCTTTTCAATATTATTTCATATTATCAGGTAGTAAAAAAGGCATTGTATAGTTGCGAAAAGTTTAGATAAATTAAAGAAATATTATATTTTAAATTATCAAAATAATATTATGTTTTAAATTTTCATAACAATCAAGAGAGACGTCGATAATGAAAGAACATCTTGAAATTAATGGTACAGATTGTTCTAATTTTTTTTCCCAACTTCAGTTACTTATTGAAACTATTTTCCTCCACTTGATTAGCCAAGTCCCTCCAAATTTCTTTCTCTCTCTCTCTCTCTCTCTCACTCACTCTTTCTCGTATGTGCATTTTCCTTGCTAATATACATGGGCGCACGTGTAGTGGCAAGAACGAAAGCCGTTTCGACATCGCTTAGGTATTAGGTGGTCGCGTGCATCGGGAAAGACTATAATGTGCTCATACACGTGCATGCACGAGTATCTCTCTCTCTCTCCTTCTCCCTCTCCTTTTCCTACCCGGGCACACTTACTCAAGTGCGTATACAAATGCATTTATACATACACACACACATATATATATATATATATATATATATATGTATACGACGCATATAGATATGCATATAGATATATGTGGGATTTTCGTCCCGTGGGACGTGGTTCACTAGGCCTGGACGTACTGTACTGGGCCCCCTGTACCCATCGCACCACTTGTACAAATATATACATGTCGTGTGTACATGCGGTAGGTAGGAGGTGAGCGCACGGTAGTAAGGGCCAGCGGCCTCTGATATTAATACATTCCATTACGAGGGACAATGACAGGCCGAATGACCATCGTGCTGGCTGATGGGCTCGGGGCCCACGCGCCCTGAAACTCGTCGGGCGTCGTCATCTAATTTAATAATGCCTCAGCCGAGTTGCGATCAAAATACCGGCCACCGCATTTTTATCCCTTGGTTCGGGTTCGCAGTCTGCGATGCGGGAATAAGTGCCGTTGCACCTGGAGCCGTGATAATAATGGCAATGCAAGCATGCGTTACATTATGAGTCGGCAGGGGCGTCACGGGGCGGGGCGGGGGGGGGGATACACGGATTATAGACTTTTATAAAAATTTCTGTTCTCTGAGTTAGCCGAGGTCGTTGGACGTGAATTATGTACTTTTGCTAGAGAATGTTAGGATGCAATAGAGCGTAAGCTAATAGTAATGCATTGTGAGAACTTTATTTACGCTAACGCTAAGTACTTTTTGAGCTTATGAATTTTGGTTCATTTTGCGTTTTAATAAAATCCCAAAATAACAATTAAACAGATTATAATTCAGAAATTTCATTATAAAAGAAAGATGTTGTTAGTCTTTAATAATATAGCATATCATCTAAAGAATAGAAAAATTTCAAATTTATTAATATTCAGTCAAATGCAAAAGCTAAATAATATTTAGGTAACTTAATTGCAAAGTAAATATTCAGTAATTTAAGACAACAAATAATGATTTTAATTCAAAGAATTTTCATGCAAATCTTTTATCATTTAAGATATCTTAAATATTAAAAAATGTCGGTATTGGCACAAAATCTGGTATAAAATATCAGTATTTGTTGGTTTGAAAGTATGCGATGCAAATTATTGCTGATGTTTAACGGAACTTGAAGTTTTTAATTTCAAAAATAATAAAAAAAATCATAATCAAACAATCAACGTAATGTAATAAAGTAATATAATAATATATACATATATATATATATATTTTTTTTTCAACTAATTAATCATATTATAATTAATTATTTTTACATTATATAATGTAAAAAAAGTTAAAAATAAACAAAATAAATGATTCAAATACATAATACATGTATATTTTTTATGCATTTAGAAAACATAGAAAATATTTGAGATACGGATAATATTTGAGATAGATGGGCAATGTAATATTTATTATAATTGAATATTAAATGATTTTTGTATATTTCAATTGAATTATTTAAATATTTCTTTAAAGTATATTATTAAAAAACAAATGAATATACTTGAGAGTTAAACTGAACAAATATATTAATTTTCGCATTTTAATTAATTAATATCAAATAACATTTTTTATGTGATTGTTCAGTAAAATATTGACAGATACATAAAGATTATAACTTAAATTATCACATATTTTCCGTATAAAGCAATAAATTTAAATGAAGCATTATGAAAGAGGCGGCGGGAGGGGGGGGGGAGCATATATTTCCAATCAATTGTAATTCTTTACATATCGTTCGTTACATTTAATTACTTAAATATATGTGTTTCGTATGTGAGACAAAAGTAATGAAATGAAATGAAATGAAAGTAATGAAAGATTCTACAAAAACACGTGTGCATGTACACGCATATACGTACATACATTCATGCACATATACATACATCAATTCGGATTTATACGCCTGACGTTTTTCTTCACAAAACTATCTATCCCAACTGCATAATTCTTGTTACGTTCTTATTGAGTAAAGCCTTTCATTTCAGTTTTAATAAAATAAATAATAATAATTTATTTCTAAAATTAGAAAATTACTTTCTTAATAAATATTAAAATATAATAATTAACTGTGAAATTAACTTGGATAATTTATTTTATTCAACTGAAGTAAATGTACATCATATATTATATATATATATATATATATACATTGAGAATGTATTGCAAATCCTTTCAAAGTGCAAGTCATTAAAATTTTGTCAATAAATGTTTCATAATCTTGAATATACGTAAAGTAAAATATGAGGACTTTTGAATAAGGATTATGCTTTTGTAAACTTTGTATTCTATTACAAATTTTTAGTTTTAGTATAAAATGAGACAAGCAATAAATAAAAATATGGTTGAAATTTGTTTTTGACATAAATTATTGAATATTATATACTTCCTTTTACGGAATATTGTTTTTCGAGTAGAATATACTATAGTTGATGAACGCAGTTAAATAAATAAAATAATCTCTCATGAATTTACACATCCATCCTTAAAATATGAAAATCCAGTATCGATTTTATACATAAATTATATATATATATATATATATATATATATATATATATATATATTAAGCTGGTAGATATGCAAAATAATTTACTTTTGTAATACGATAAAAGATAAGAGTCAATAACATTTATGTGATCTATAATGGTGGGCCATTATTGTTTTACGAATGCTGAAAAGGAAGAGAAAAAAGTGAGAAAGCGGAAAGAGTTCAGGCTGGCTTCTGTAAGCGATATTAAAAAGCCATTCAGGCTGGCTTAGTTATTACCTGAGAGCGACTATAACTTTATTCTTTGCCGAACGTGACTCTTATTCGACATAGACAAGTACCGTACGAACTATCACTACTACCTAATACTATTATGCGACTACTGGATTGGCAATCGTTAGAGAAATCAAAGTTATTGCTACCAACACTTGGACAACTTACGGCAAAGCTGATATAATGGCGTTAATTGATTTGAAATTATTGCTTAAAAATGTCGAAATTATCGACGATTTATATGATTTTAATACACAAAACAATAATGTTATCTGTGAATTTTGACATTTCAATGCATAGTCTAAATTTTCGTAAATTGAAATAATGGAAGTTAATTTGATTAATGATATTTGCATATGTATCAGAGACATTTTATATTTCCATTCTAATATTCTTTATAGCATAGTATCACTTTTAATGATATTAATCTTATTTTTACCGACAATGCGAAAACTTAAATATTTTACTAATAAATACATTAAATCAAAGCAAATACTTTTACTACAATAATCGTAATTACGACAATTAGATTACATATTTTGTTGAATAACTATATTTAAAAAATAAATGAATTAACATAGCCGACTGGAATTATAATGTTATAATTAATTGAATTTTAAATTAAGTGCTAAAGTAATCAGTAATAACTCTCTCTTATGTTAGATATTTCTGTCACTTTAACAAATCAAACATCAGACTACCGATAGTGATACCGATGCCGACCACTTAAAATATTCATCGGGTAGATATCCGGCTAATTCACAATTCTAGTAGACATCACTTTTGACGTAACCTTCCACCAATCAATTTAACGCTGCATGTGCGCTGATTCAAGTTTACTAACTTGATCCATAATTACCACTGAAAGCCAATTTGGTCATTTAATTTGCGAGTGAGAGTGAGAGAGAGAGAGAGAGAGATATGGAGAGAGAGAGAGAGAGAGAGAGAGAGAGGGAGAGAGGGAGAGA